GGAAACGACTCGACGGCACATAACAACAACAGGTACCAGCACCACTACACATACAGATATAGAGAAAGATACAGCTTATGAGTATCCGTATATACAAATAAACATTTCCTACGTCTGTCCATTAAGAGAAGCCACAGACAAGGACACTGATCGTAATGTATACACTAAACAGAAATTAATCACCCACGAAGCTGATTATATCACTTATCTTTACCTTAAAAAGGTTTTCAAGAGAAACAAGATTTGAACGAACTGAAAGACTACACTTGGAGTTCCTGATAATACAATTAAGTATCTGACTACATTTTAATGAACCCACAAGCACCCCAGAAGAAATGCCTGGTGATCTGCTTCCAAAAGAGCAAAGCCTTGAAATTCCAGTTTTCCTATACACACATGGCTGTCATGAGCTGCCCCTAATGATCTGCTACTAATGATAAGGACAGTATTATAATTGTTGCTAATCACAAAGATACAAACTTATAAATCCAACTAGATTCCATAAGAAGGATCAGATTTTTTTTCATTATTACTAATTTTAATGAAAGTTTACAGAGACTTTGGATTTCTAGTCACTCATTGTTGCACTTTTCTTCCTGCCCATTCCTCCCCGCCAATTCGCTCTTCTCTGAAAAGTTAAATTCTTTCTTTATTATACAATCCTTCCCCCAGGTCCACTCCACTATGCAGCCTTCACTCTGTCATGACAATAATAACTAATAATAATAATAACTAACCACATATCCCTTTTAAACAGTTCTCTCCCTCATCTGTTTCAATGTAGTATACATAATTTATCCCACCTTTCTCAGTCTCCCTCCAACCCCGATGTCAGTCCTATTTTACAACAGTGGCATTATGCAGTATTTGTCCTTTTGTGACTGAGCTATTTCACTCAGCATAATGTCTTGTAGGGTCATCCATTTTGAGTAACACTGCATGAGTTCCTTGTTTTTCAATGCAGCATAGTACTCCATTGTGTGAATATACCACAGCTTCTCTATCCATTTGTTTGTTGATGGGCACTTAGATTGTTTCCAACTCTTTGCTATTGTGAACAAATCTGTGATAAACATGGGTGTGCATATGTCTGCTTGGGTGGCGGTTATGGTTTCTTTGGGGTATAGTCCCAGTAGTGAAATTGCTGGGTCAAATGGTATTTC